AGCGCGATTACGTCCTAAACAACATATCTAAATAGCAAGCCTCAACTCGCAAAATTGAGGGAGCTACGACCAAAAATGTGGCTGGTCATAACAACCTGTCGCGCACTGTAAGGGCATCGGTGCCTATTATCGCGCACGAACAATTATCGCGCACTTGAAGCAAACCTTACGGGATTTCCCCATACTTTATTCCATATTAAAAATCTACGGGATATATGCTTGTCGAGCAAAAATTGGCGATGCAGGCACCTTTTCGGCCTGTATGTCCACCTATGTCGGCCTGTACGTCCATGCCGTCTCGCTTCCTCGCTCAGCAATGTTGTTGTTCATTCTCCAATTCATCCTGACAGCCCCAGCGGCCCATTCAACCTCAACTCCAAGGTATGGCGAAGACCATCAGTCGAAGATTGTGCGCATCAGGAAGAAATGGACGCCAAGCACCATGAAAGCAGCTTTGACGGCGTATCGCCGTAGCCAGACAAAGGGCAAAAAGATGTCGATTCGTGAAGCATCTCGCATGTACAATGTGCCAGAGGCTACAATGCGAGACTATCTTGCAGGTCGGTCGGTAGTGGGAACTAAGTCTGGACCTCAAAGTGCCATCTCACCCAAAGAAGAAGAAGGTCTCGTGAAATCGCTGCTTGATCTTCATTCCAAAGGCTATCCTGCCACCCGTCTCCAGTTCAAGGCTCGAATTTTGGATGTCTGTCGCGATGGTAGAAGGCATCGGTTTCGCGTTCAGGTCCGTCCGACAAGTGGATAGCTGCGTTTATCCTTCGGCACAGCGATCATCTAAGCATGCGTAAAGCACGCATCTTAGACCGTTTGAGAGCGGATGCATTCGATGAGGACGAAATTCGATGCTTCTTTGCAGAGTATCAAGATATTCTGAAGGATAATCCGTCGATTAATACGACAAGGATATTCAACTGTGACGAGACTGGAATGGATCCCCAAGGAGGGTCGCGTATTTGAGTGATAGCGAGGAGGGGCGCCAAATCTGTTGCCACTAAACGTGGGCAAAACCGGGAAAACACAGTGCTGTGGTCAGTTAATGCAGCAGGCACATTGTTACCACCACTGTTCATTTTCAAAGGAAAACGATTCCGGAGCGACTGGCTTGGCGATGATGCCCCTGCTGGTAGCAGGGGTACCTGCACGGAAAACGCCTTCATCGACGTGAAAGTATTCAGCCTTTGGGTGGACTTTTTTGTGCAGAGCATTCCTCCAGTTCGTCCAGTGCTACTTATTCTTGACAACCACAGCGCTCACGTCGCTCTCGAAATATTGGAGAAGTTCAAAGCCAATGATATCCTAACTCTTTCGCTACCGCCACATACGACACACCTTGTTCAGCCACTGGACGACGGATATTTTCGAGCATTTAAGTCAAAGTGGATGCACGTCATCGATGAATGGGCTGTGAATACTAGAGCAGCAAATGTCCAAAAGCACCATATCCCTGGGCTGGTAAATAAGACAATTACGGAGGCGTGGACGCCATCTATACGAGTTAATTCGTGGTCAAGCACTGGAATATGGCCTGTTGATGTGGAGAAGGTGATGAAAAAAACAAATCCCGTCCAACAAACTCGAGTCTCTTTCGAATCTCGCAAGCTATCGTATATTGGTAGATGACCCCACTCCGCTCGACAAGTTTAAACTGAGGGCCCTTCGTAAACTCAAGCGTGACGGTGTGATTCTATCTGAATTCCGGTCTTATAATATCATGCACGCACGGATGAACGCGGCTTCTCGACCAGAACCAGCTAAGAACCACGTCTTCATCAACATGACAGCGAAAAGACTGTTAACTCATGATGATTGTATCGCTGAATTTAATTTAAAGACTCGCGAGAAGGAAGACGAGATACGGCAAAAGGCTGAGCGAAAGCAGGAAGCAACAAAGTGCAAGCAAGAAAAGGAACGTGCAATACTAGAGCGTAAGCGTAAGCGTGAACGCGAAGCTAAAAAGGCAGCTCGGCAAGCAGTTGAACAACAAAAAGCAGAAGAGATAGAGGCTAAAAAGAAGGCAAAGGCTCTTGCCAAACATCAGGCAACCGATCAAGACGCAAAGCCCAAGAGAAAACGCCGAAACACTGGTCCGAGGAAGCAAACCCCCACTTCAATTAGTGTAGATGATAGTCAAGATTGCAACTTCAACATCGGCCAGATGGCGGAGATTCCGAGTTTGACGACCGATATTTCAGCCCCTGCGTATACGACAGGGACAACGGAGGCACGATTACATGCAGGAAATGCAGTTCTATCGTATGATCTAGGCGACGGGAGCTGCAAAGCTCGCCAGAAGTCGTTTGTGCAGTTGATGTCGTTTTCGGTCGCCGATTTCGGGATTTGCAGAGTTTGACTTAGTTTCACTAAACTGGTTGCGCGATAATTAGCAGGTAGTTTTCACAACTTTCATTTCATGTACCTTCGAACAATTCGTTATGCGTCGTTAAATCAAATGCTCTACCCGCGCCCTTACTTCTATAGATAGCTAAAACACAGTCCTTTCACGTCAAACTTGTTGCAGCGCGATTGGATTGATACTCGACTCAAAATCGAATTTTCCGCTTATGTGCGCGATCACCGGGTGCTATGCCCTTATTTCACCCTTCTCCGCCAGCTCTTTCCTCCTGATCGCTTCCGCCACCACCCACACAGCCCTCAAACACGCGCAAAAACTACAGAACTATCACCAGCTTGTAGGCGCACCAGCGACGTCTACACGCCATCAAATGGCCCATAACGCAGCTCTCACACTTCTAGCGCCGCCCCAAGCTCACTATCACGC